TCTCCTCTTGTACAGATCCTGATCCATTCACTATCACACGAGACAGTTCAGTAGATATTCCATTCCCATTCACTGAACAACTGACAGTAGTAGGAGGACCATCAGAGACATTGAAACTGAGACTGAAGACTGAAGGAGTAGCTAATCTACTAGTGGAGAGGAGAGAGAACTGCAAAGTAGGATCAGCATCAGGACCATCTGTAAAAGAAGTACATTAATTATAGTCTATATTCATCACATACCATTGTTATTGTATGCAGGATCAGTATATGCTCCAACCACTAGTGTTTGATTCACTCCATTCTCATCAGGAATGATACACTTGTATAAACCTTCATATCCTGATAGTCCATCTCTTCTAGTTAGTGCAATCTGACCACTGAATCTCTTACTGTACACTGGTCTAGGAGCTGATAAATCACCAAAGTCTCCATCAAATAAAGGTACTTCAGTTCCATTAGGATAATACCACACTCCAATATTAGTACCATTGTTAGCACTCTGACACCACAAAGCATCATTGATATTATCACTGTTCTGATCTAGATCATAAAACTGGCTAGCATATATCATAGAGTAATCAGGTATTATCCTGTCCTGATAAGCTAGGTACAGTTGAACACCTAAATATGAGTATAGATCTAGAAATTATCAAAACTTATTATTTTCTTACCATTACTGGATAGGGTGGAAGGTGCTTGTCCAGATACAGCCATCAGTTGAACCAGGAGGAGTAATAGAAAACAAGACCTACTTGAGGATGCCATTTTTCTTTTCAATGTAGATTTTATTGTTGAGTTAACATAAATCATGTGACCTTGTATTATCTGTTGTTGACACAAAAGTGTATTTTATTTTAGACACTTAATAAAAATAATAATGAATATTGTTATGACACGCCCAATCAATGAGCTACGCCCTCTTTAAGATTTGCAAAAGATGCCTGGCAACAACAACAATGAAGAAGCTCATTTAGGTAAGCGACTCATCCCTTAACGCAGCCACCATCATTATCCTGTCATTAAAGGAGTACTGCCATTGAACTGGGAGAGAGCTGAAACTCAAGAAGGAATACCATACTAGATTATAAGAAGTAATAATGATTGCAATAGAATTATTCTTTAAAATATTGATCTGTCCTCAATATATTTGGTGCACTATGTCTATTTTGTAGTCACAGCAATGGAAGAACACAATGGGAGCATCCACTACTGACAGAACTATTCAAGGAACTAAGTAAACTATTGAGAAGTTGTAGGTCTATGGCATTTACATCTTTTCAATATTTTAGGGCACCAGATATCTAGTACATAGATTTTGGTCACATTTCATCAATAATGAAAAGGAGAAAATTTTCCATTTTTGTAATTTTTTGATACATATACATGCATTTATGTTGTGTAGAAAGTTCAAATTGATTTCAATCAACTTTGGATGTTTTATGAATTTTTAAAGTTGCTCCAAAAGTAGGCCAATGTCCCTGTACTATATATAGTACAGGGATTTTGGCCAAATTTTATCAAAAATAAAAAATATAAAATTTACCATTTTAAATAATTTTTTCTGATACACATAGAAAATTTTAATTGATAGTTTTGATTAAGTTTTGATTTTTGGCAATTTTAAAAGTTGCTCAAAAACCAGCGTATACATACATTTTGAAATGATAATTTAAAAATATTATATTCATTGTGGTTTAACACAAATTGTGAGGATAAATGTGTTCCAAAAATTCATTCTCTGGGAAAAAAGATGAGGCTTGCTCTTTAAAACATTTTCAGCTTTGTATATCAGTTGACCATGTATTAAGCTCAAAACCACCTCCTTTGTATGAAAATCTTGTTATTGCTCCATTTGCTTTTTTTCACTTCTTAAAATTATTGCTTTTCAACTAACAAATATTTCTATAGCTATAACACAAACACAATATGCATTAATTTAAGTGGTAGCATTAAATATATGTTTATTTGCATCACTAACAGTGTACATAAAAAAGATGAGTGGGTACATTATTAAAAAGGTGGTATATGTACTTCACATTCAGAAGTCCCAGGCCTGTTTGACGATCTATTTATGAATGTATTTTATTTTCAATTAATGCAGTAACTAACACTTTGCTTTCAAATCAATTGTAGTATAAGTTGGAATGCTTTGCAATGCAATGTTGTTCTCTGGTTTTCTATAAGCCATAATTTTCAAAACTTTATTGTAATAAATACTCATTTACCTCTTTTGGCCTGTTCTTTTCATATGCAAAACAATTACCAATACAGCCAGTGCTATGATGGGTATATAGACCATAGTTACACCAACTATCAATCCAGTGGTAGTTACAGTAGTTACAGTACTTGCTACTGTAGGATGAAGAACAGAAACAGCAAGAAACTGTTAAATTATCACTATCATTAAAATGGTTACTAATTATGTTTTTTTTTTAATTTTAATAATGACATACAGACCGATGCTTGGTTATGATTTTATATAACAACACATAAAATAAAAAACCTGATTGCTTAAATAAAGTGACTATAATACATATATTAGTATACACTATCTTACTTGTTGATGATCCTGTCACAGTAACACCTAAATGTATGAACTGAGTATTATTCATGGAGTAACTTAGAATAGTATTACCTGGTGGTATTGGTTTAGTCCTCTCTCCTTCATAAATGATTCCATTAACAGTAAATGATGTAGATATAGAGAACAAGTAGTTCAGATTAGGATCTAATCCTCCTATTAGACCTTCAGTAGTATCACCTGGGAATACTCTCATTCCTGTCTCTACTTGTCTCTTCTTTCTTGAGTATAATGACTAGCTCTAGAAACAAAGCCCCACTCAGCCCTCACTGCTGTAGAATTGAGCTTTGTTATAGAAAAGGTTTGAATGACAGCTAAAATAGAAAGTACCAAATAAAAAGTTAGATTAATTTACTATTCTTTACGCAATTGCTTATTATATGTTATTTAATTGCTTACGTATTTGAATAGTACTATATTCTCTATCAGTCCATTCTCCTGGTCCAATGCTAGTATATGCTCTCACTCCAATAGTATAACTAGTATTAGGTATCAATCCTACTATACTGTAATAAGTGTTAGTAGTGTTAGTTATATTGTATGGACCAATACTGGTAGACTCTCTATATCTTATCTCATATACTGTAATGATACCATTAGGTATTGTAGGAGGATTCCATACAATATTTATTGCATCTGGGTTTCTTGCATATCTTAGATTAGATATCACACCAAGAACTGTGTTAAGATCATGTTAAACTGATCAATATCTCATTGACTTACTTGATTCATCAGTTAATTGTATTTCTTGACTAGCTGGTCCATTCATATTATAATTATAAGGTATTATACTCACAGTATAGTTAGTATATAGTATTAATCCTGTGAGATTATACATTCTGTTGTCTCCTCCAGTGATATTAACAGTATAACTAGTGTTTGAAGTGATGTTAGTGTATGTGAGGTAGTATCCAGTGATTGGTCCATTCCTTCCATTGCAAGGTACTTCATCCCATGAGAGAGTCATTGACACTGACTCTACTGATGAGAATATAATATCACCCACTGGTGCGGTAGGGGCTATGGGAAGTTAAGAATAATAAAAACTCTAATAATAATATTGCACACTTGCCAGTTAAAAGTGTAGTAGCTATATAATTATTAGTTAAAAAAGTTAGGTCAGCTTCATATACTCCAATAAGATCAAAGCCACATTGACTGTAAGGAGTTATACCAATTGAAGTATGTGATGATGAAACTGGTGTTTCACTAGTACCAGTTTTTGATGATTCACATACTCTCCTACATCTCCTATTTATATTATAACTAATTGGTACTACAGCAGTTGGTGGACTCCATGTTAATGTAATGGATGAATTTGTAGTTACTGAAGCCATTAAGTCATCAACTACTGGTTCACCTGAAAATAGTATTAGAAATTTATTTTAATTCAGTTAATTCACTTACTAAATGTTAGCATAACTGAAGCATCACCACTAGGTAAAGAAGCTGATGTATAAGATACTACATAGAAAGTGTATGTAATCCCTCGGATCAATCCTGATGTTATATTGATTGTTGTTGAAGCAGTAGTGCCTATACTAACAGGAGTTAAAGTTGAGAATTTACTGAAGACCTCATAACCAGTAGCTCCTAATACAGTAGACCAGGAGAGTCTTACATGAGCTAAACCAGTACTTAATCTTGTAGCAGTTAAACCAGTTGGAGTATCAGATACTGAAATTATATGAACAATAATTAATAATAATTAATAATAATGAATAATGACACAGACCTGATAAACTCACAGATGTAGTGCTACTTGTTGCCTGAACATCTCCAATATGACCATTAGTACCATCAGTTACTCTGGTATTAAATACAGTACACTGATAGTTACCAGCTTCTCTCAGTCTCACTGTTACTCTCACTCTTGTAACAGATCCTGATCCATTCACTATCACACGAGACAGTTCAGTAGATATTCCATTCCCATTCACTGAACAACTGACAGTAGTAGGAGGACCATCAGAGACATTGAAACTGAGACGGAAGACTGGAGGAGTAGCTAATCTACTAGTGGAGAGGAGAGAGAACTGCATAGTAGGATCGGCATCAGGACCATCTGTAAAAGAAGTACATTAATTATAGTCTATATTCATCACATACCATTGTTGTTGTATCCAGTATCAGTATATGCTCCAACCACTAGTGTTTGATTCACTCCATTCTCATCAGGAATGATACACTTGCATAAACCTTCATATCCTGACAGACCACCTCTTCTTGCTAGTGCAATCTGACCACTGAATCTCTTACTGTACACTGGACTAGGAGCTGTATTACCAAAGGGTCCATCAAATAAAGGTACTTCAGTTCCATTAGGATAATACCACAATCCAATATTACTAACATTGTTAGCACTCTGACACCACAAAGCATCATTGATATTATTAACATCATTATTCTGATCATAATCATAAAACTAACTAGCGTATATCATAGAGTAATCAAGTAGTATCCTTTTCTTATAAGCTAGGTACAATTGAACACCTGAATATGAGTATATATAGTATTTATTACCAAAATTAATTTGCCTACCATTACTGGGTAAGGTGGTAGGTGCTTGTCCAGATACAGTCATCAGTTGAACCAGCAGGAGCAATAGAAAACAAGACCTACTTGATAATACCATTATTCTTCTTAATTTAAACTTCATTGTTGAGCTGTGACTTTGTTTCATCAGTTTTTGACACATAAGTGTACTTTGTTATATTTTTTTATACACTTAACTTATAATGAATATTGTTATTGAGCTACACCTAGTCAATGAGCTACGCCCCCTTTAAGATTTGAATATAAAAAATGCTTATAAATAATTATTTCATTAAAATTTGTATTGGTAGTTTTTGTAGCCACAACAATAAAAATACACAATGGGAGCGACCAGTACTGACAGAACTATTCAAGGAACTAAGTAAACTGCTAAATAAGTGTAGGTCTACAACGTTAACATCTTTCAATT